TATTATGGAGACTAAACCAGAATTTTTGGTCGCCAAGGATGAAATGTTAGTTGCATTGGCAACTGTATCAATCACAATTTCGAGCCCTGGATGACTTTTAAAACATTATGCCTGTGTTAAGCCTGCAGGTCTTGTAAATGGAAAGGGCCAAATTGGCCCTTTTTTCGTTTTTCTGGGGCCCATCTCTGATTGTAACGTGGGATTCCTGCAATGGCGCGCTCTGGCGGAAACACTGTCTTCAGGGCTTTCACTAAATTTTGAGTCACCCGTAGCCTTGTTCTCCACACCGGCAAAAAACTTGTTACTTTGTAGGTGAATTCTATCAACAGCAGGCAATTGCAATCAAGCATAATCAACCGTAACAGGTGTTACAGGTTGCAGCCCTTAATGACAGCCCTGGGTCTTTTCATTTTCAGTGCAAGAATGGACGGACACCACTTCACTATGCTGCCTTGTATGGGCGTTGCTCAAGGGCTCAAACTCTTCTTCAAAATGGTAATGGTCAAATGTGTACATACACTAGATCTTTGTTACATCTCATTAGTATTAATTTATACTGCACTTAACTTGAAAAAATTCCATTTGTGATAGTGCTGTTACTGTACAATAGTACACTGACATGGCACCATAGAGTTGATGCAAGAAGTACTGTACAAAGCTGACTTGATTATAAAAGTCTTGTACAAGCTACAATGTTGGATAATTGTGATACAAGTATAGTTTTTTTCCTCTCTGTTCAGGCTGCTACGTGGATGCGACAGATATCAGAGGAAATACCCCTTTACATATAACTGCACTGCACGGCCAGGAATTATTACTCAGCGTACTGCTGGCCAGTGGGGCAAACCATGCAAGGTAAGTGAGTATTGGATGAACAAAAGGGCAAAGAGCTAATACTTCGTTTTAAAGAGACCCTCTTGATCTGGTAGAAATAGATACCTGCAAACAGTTGTATTACACATAGTCATTTATTTTGTTTATTGACACCAGTTGAAGCTTACCGTGTATATTTCCTACTATTTTTCAGGCGTGGTTCATTTGGAATGTTACCTCTTCACATGGCAAGCTTAGGTGGTTTCACAGACTGTTGTAGGAAACTTATATCATATGGTGAGTTTCACACCACAGAAACTATTAGGTTATTATAAATAGTTTTTAACAATTAAAGGCAGTGTGTTATTTTTATTCTGCAATAAAAAAACATCAACATTATGATTCCATCTTGTGAAGTCATATTATTTATTATTTAAAGTGACGTCCACGATGCAAGTGCATGTACAGATGTGGTCCTAAACATGATATGGAATCACAAATAAAGCCTCTATTGATGGAGGGTTAACACATATTGGTAGAATTCTGCTGTCAATAATCTGATTGGCTGAGCTATTGCATACAATCAGTCATTGGTGTGCAGTGGCTGGGTGTGGTAGACAAAATTGCAATGTTTCCTCATTTCTCTGAAGCTTTGAGAGAATGTTTAGAAACAAATGAATAAACAGAATTCCTGAGAAGACTAAAAGGAGGGCATTTACAGTTTCTTGAAATAAAAAAGCTAGAAAATTTTTTAAAGAAACTGATAGGCGTGTGTACACAACTGCAAATGTCAAATTGACAATTCAGTGGGCGGAAATTCTCTAAAGCGTGAAATTTAATTCTAAAACCAGAAATAATTGGAATTGTTATATTAAGGAAATTTCAGTTAGAATTCTACTAAAATAATTAGATTATGAGCTTGAGATTTACATCAGGCAATAATTGATTTGAACTTCTGCCTCATCAACTACCGCCTCAAAGAATTCTTGAGCTCATAATCTTATTATTAAATAATGGAAATTCACCAACAATCTTGTGCCCCTCACTTAGATAAATCTAAAAGTACAAGATTTTATAATTATTAAATAGATAAGAACTCTAAAAACTACTGTAAATGACTTTCACAAACATAAATACAAAGCATCAGAAACAATAAATAAAATAAAACAAATTGCTTAAAATGCTAATATAGACTAAAAAGTAAAACTGATTAAGATAAATTAAAATGCAGCAATAACCTCTGGTTGTCCAAAAAACACAAACCATCCACTGGCCAAGCAGTTTGTCCACTGAACTTTAACTTTAGGCAGCTGAACTTTAGCTGTTGGGCAGCTGGGCAGTTGGTATTTATTATTAAGGTTCACAACTCTCAAAGCGTGAGTATACTTTTTTTTGTAGGTAATGATGTTAATGCAAAAGATGATAACGACCATACCTGTGTTCATTCTGCTGCCTGTAGTGGGTAAGTTATGCAAGGTGACTACTGGAACCTTACATAAATAATAATTATTTAGTCCATTGCTCATGTATGGTAGAAATGCAACAAATGTAATAATGCAATAATGATGATGATGATGATCTCAGTACAGAAGAATAACCGCATCATTAAAGCAACTGTTTTACAGTGTATATACAGTCATGTATATTAGGGTTGATTCAGTTTTTTTGGTTCAATATTATTTAGAAATGTAGAATGCCTTGGACTTCTGTTGCATAGCGGTACTGATTATACTGCAGTTGACAGATTAGGAAGGTATGTAAATGCGCTGTGGTTTCCATGTATGTTGTTTCAAATTCAAATTGTTTCTTTAATTTTGTAAATTATGAATGGAATAAGGCACTTCATCTTATTTCAGACTTCTTTATAACATGGCTACATGTACATAAAGAGTATGTCATGTGACCAATGGTTTGTTTTTCTGTATTGTATGTTTTATAGAACTGCACTTCACTATGCTGCTGGTCATGTTCATTACTTGTGTGTGAAGTCATTAGTGGCATCAGGTTGCAATGTAAATAAAGTGGACACAAGAGGCTGCACTCCTCTTCACTACGCAGCTGCTGCAGACTCAGATGCCAAGTAAGCAACTCCCTCTGTTTATCACTGAGTATAAGGTGTTGACGTCATCTCTAACTGTTGATGTAATAATCACCAGCTTTAGTAGTAAGCATGTGTTATTACCCTATATCAAACTGATCCAATATGAACAGGAGTATTTGATTCCCTAGGGATTAATACTGGTATTACCTTGAATATGGTTGAAAAACGAGCCACAATTTAAGAACTCTTGACTGCTCTTTAGTAAGTTTATTGGTATTATCTCGTGTAAGTTCACAAGCATCTCAGCACATGTATAAGCAGACTTACATAATTTGTAAACATAATTGGAAAGCATCTGACAAAATAGAAACCTAAACTATTTTTCATAATGAAAAGAGCAGCTTTAAAAACTGTAATCAAAATGCACAATATTCACATGAACAGAAGAGATGTTTGTACCTCTGAAGGGCAAGATTAAGATTGAAAAGAGGTTTGTAAAAAGGAATGGGCATTCTTGTATTTGTTCTTGTTCATCTTTCAGCTCATTCCTCTCTTACTCCCCCAGTTCCCTCTACATGTAAATGTTAATGTCCTCCCTTGATTTATAATTTGTTTTAGCCCATTTAGGCCATCAGCAATTATTTGAATCCTGGTAGAGTTTTTTTTTCTGTTGTGATGTTTGCAGATGTGTGGAACACCTACTAAGAAATCGAGCTAATGCTAGCAAAAGAGATAAACAAGGTTACAGTCCTGTACATTATGCTGCTGCTAGAGGGCATAAATTGGCTTTAGAAATGGTACATTGTACAATTTATCACATACCATATTGAATTTTTACTCATTGTTTTTGTTTTTGTTTGTTTTTTCCTTTCCTCTTTTTCTCTTTTGAGTCCATGATTAAATAGACTGAATTTTGCATGGCAAGTCAATTAGTCATGTGGGCCTACTGTAATAACAAGGTGCTCATCACTATTAAGTGGAAGTTTAAAAGCTCAGGTTTTACCACAAATTTAATCATTGTTGTAATTAGTATAGGTAATCATATGAATGCAAGTACAATTATGGATAAAGTTATCTCAAAATTGCTCAAAACCTTTACATGAACACTTGTTTATTATATGACTAAGAAAATTTTGCATGTATGCACATACGTTTGCACTGTAATGTAAGTTAGAAATTAATGATGAATCTCAGCCAATCACAATGAAGTTATTTTCTCAGGCACATAATAAATGTGATAAATAAAATTTAAAAAAATTGACATATTTTTATGTTGTTTCAGTTATTAGATGTAGCTGCAACAGATCTTTTAAATAAGAGTTCAGGCTCACCAGCTACCACTCCTCTTCATTTAGTGGTAAGTTGTTTTCTCTGTGACCATTGTCATCCCAGCATTGAAGAACAGCCAAGCATCATAGGAATAGGCCTGTAATGTGTGCATGTGCACAAAGGGTTAGGTAATAAAATTACTGTGAAAAACTGTGTACCATTTCATAGACCATAAATAATAATAAAGCACCTGATTATTTGGAACACCTGTGTTTTTCTTTAGGCTTATCATGGCCATTTCCCAGCCCTCCAAGTGCTGTTAGAATCCTTCATAGACATTGATATTAAGGATGCCAATGGTAAGTAGCGAGAAAGACAGTGTTTTGTCATTACTGTGTTTTACTTATTTAGTCTTGAAGTTGTTTTCTTATTGCTTTTTTACTTGATTGCCGAGGCTAGATTTCCATCCATCTACGTTCCTCTGTGAGAGAGATGAATGTGTAGGCTCCGTTCTTGAATAGCGACTAGTATTCAAACCTAAATTGCTGCTTGTAAGAAGAGTATGACCAATCCCTCGCCACTTCCTAGTGCAGTTAATATTTTCTACTATTCTCTTTCTCTTAAGGGATACTTTTTTAAAATAACTACTTTTTTTTTGAGTTACGAAAGTATTGTTGAATTACAATAATTGTCTTTTACAATGTTTCTTTTTGTTCAGGCCATACTCCACTTTATCTTGCTGCTTTTCAAGGACATGCGTAAGTATAGTTTAGTTATTTGTATTTTAAGTGTAAACAAGTTTTTGTGCGTAAAAACTGCTCTTGCAGTGGCTTTGAAGAACTTAGGAAAAAACAATGATTCTTCTTAGTCATTAGAAAACACCTTGCAAGAAGGTGCATGCACAAAACCTGCACAAGCTGTTGATCTAAGGATGGCACCTGTACTGGAACTTGTAATTAACGTTTGAAAAATTCAGTGGGAAAAAAATGTTTGTGCAAACAAAGTGACTGAAATGGTGATACAAAAATGTCTTGACATCTAGGTTGTATTTATGGAAGTTCTTTCATATTCTGTTCTTTGTTGCAGTGAATGTGTAGAGTGTCTTTTAGAACACAATGCCAAGGTTTTAGTTCATGACAACATAACCAAGAGAAACGCTCTCCATGTTGCAGGTAATTGCTGTTTATCACTTTAACCTTTTCAGGCTCAAGCTCAAAATATTAATTCTCCTTATTGATTGCCATATGTTTGTTGAATGTTGGTGGTGAGAATTTGGGAAATACAGAACGGATTATTTCTATGTGCATAAGAGATGTTATATGTATGTTGTTGTACCGAGCTTGGTTGTTTGTAGCACAGATAAAGGAGGTAATTCGGGGACAGTACATCTTTGTCAAGTTTATCATCAATTACTGTTCGTTATCCGTCCTGTAAAATTTTTTTGCAAGTCATAAGTTAGTTTTACAAGTCGTAAGTGACCACTATTTTTGTTACAAGTGAANCTGTTGCATAGCGGTACTGATTATACTGCAGTTGACAGATTAGGAAGGTATGTAAATGCGCTGTGGTTTCCATGTATGTTGTTTCAAATTCAAATTGTTTCTTTAATTTTGTAAATTATGAATGGAATAAGGCACTTCATCTTATTTCAGACTTCTTTATAACATGGCTACATGTACATAAAGAGTATGTCATGTGACCAATGGTTTGTTTTTCTGTATTGTATGTTTTATAGAACTGCACTTCACTATGCTGCTGGTCATGTTCATTACTTATGTGTGAAGTCATTAGTGGCATCAGGTTGCAATGTAAATAAAGTGGACACAAGAGGCTGCACTCCTCTTCACTACGCAGCTGCTGCAGACTCAGATGCCAAGTAAGCAACTCCCTCTGTTTATCACTGAGTATAAGGTGTTGACGTCATCTCTAACTGTTGATGTAATAATCACCAGCTTTAGTAGTAAGCATGTGTTATTACCCTATATCAAACTGATCCAATATGAACAGGAGTATTTGATTCCCTAGGGATTAATACTGGTATTACCTTGAATATGGTTGAAAAACGAGCCACAATTTAAGAACTCTTGACTGCTCTTTAGTAAGTTTATTGGTATTATCTCGTGTAAGTTCACAAGCATCTCAGCACATGTATAAGCAGACTTACATAATTTGTAAACATAATTGGAAAGCATCTGACAAAATAGAAACCTAAACTATTTTTCATAATGAAAAGAGCAGCTTTAAAAACTGTAATCAAAATGCACAATATTCACATGAACAGAAGAGATGTTTGTACCTCTGAAGGGCAAGATTAAGATTGAAAAGAGGTTTGTAAAAAGGAATGGGCATTCTTGTATTTGTTCTTGTTCATCTTTCAGCTCATTCCTCTCTTACTCCCCCAGTTCCCTCTACATGTAAATGTTAATGTCCTCCCTTGATTTATAATTTGTTTTAGCCCATTTAGGCCATCAGCAATTATTTGAATCCTGGTAGAGTTTTTTTTTCTGTTGTGATGTTTGCAGATGTGTGGAACACCTACTAAGAAATCGAGCTAATGCTAGCAAAAGAGATAAACAAGGTTACAGTCCTGTACATTATGCTGCTGCTAGAGGGCATAAATTGGCTTTAGAAATGGTACATTGTACAATTTATCACATACCATATTGAATTTTTACTCATTGTTTTTGTTTTTGTTTGTTTTTTCCTTTCCTCTTTTTCTCTTTTGAGTCCATGATTAAATAGACTGAATTTTGCATGGCAAGTCAATTAGTCATGTGGGCCTACTGTAATAACAAGGTGCTCATCACTATTAAGTGGAAGTTTAAAAGCTCAGGTTTTACCACAAATTTAATCATTGTTGTAATTAGTATAGGTAATCATATGAATGCAAGTACAATTATGGATAAAGTTATCTCAAAATTGCTCAAAACCTTTACATGAACACTTGTTTATTATATGACTAAGAAAATTTTGCATGTATGCACATACGTTTGCACTGTAATGTAAGTTAGAAATTAATGATGAATCTCAGCCAATCACAATGAAGTTATTTTCTCAGGCACATAATAAATGTGATAAATAAAATTTAAAAAAATTGACATATTTTTATGTTGTTTCAGTTATTAGATGTAGCTGCAACAGATCTTTTAAATAAGAGTTCAGGCTCACCAGCTACCACTCCTCTTCATTTAGTGGTAAGTTGTTTTCTCTGTGACCATTGTCATCCCAGCATTGAAGAACAGCCAAGCATCATAGGAATAGGCCTGTAATGTGTGCATGTGCACAAAGGGTTAGGTAATAAAATTACTGTGAAAAACTGTGTACCATTTCATAGACCATAAATAATAATAAAGCACCTGATTATTTGGAACACCTGTGTTTTTCTTTAGGCTTATCATGGCCATTTCCCAGCCCTCCAAGTGCTGTTAGAATCCTTCATAGACATTGATATTAAGGATGCCAATGGTAAGTAGCGAGAAAGACAGTGTTTTGTCATTACTGTGTTTTACTTATTTAGTCTTGAAGTTGTTTTCTTATTGCTTTTTTACTTGATTGCCGAGGCTAGATTTCCATCCATCTACGTTCCTCTGTGAGAGAGATGAATGTGTAGGCTCCGTTCTTGAATAGCGACTAGTATTCAAACCTAAATTGCTGCTTGTAAGAAGAGTATGACCAATCCCTCGCCACTTCCTAGTGCAGTTAATATTTTCTACTATTCTCTTTCTCTTAAGGGATACTTTTTTAAAATAACTACTTTTTTTTTGAGTTACGAAAGTATTGTTGAATTACAATAATTGTCTTTTACAATGTTTCTTTTTGTTCAGGCCATACTCCACTTTATCTTGCTGCTTTTCAAGGACATGCGTAAGTATAGTTTAGTTATTTGTATTTTAAGTGTAAACAAGTTTTTGTGCGTAAAAACTGCTCTTGCAGTGGCTTTGAAGAACTTAGGAAAAAACAATGATTCTTCTTAGTCATTAGAAAACACCTTGCAAGAAGGTGCATGCACAAAACCTGCACAAGCTGTTGATCTAAGGATGGCACCTGTACTGGAACTTGTAATTAACGTTTGAAAAATTCAGTGGGAAAAAAATGTTTGTGCAAACAAAGTGACTGAAATGGTGATACAAAAATGTCTTGACATCTAGGTTGTATTTATGGAAGTTCTTTCATATTCTGTTCTTTGTTGCAGTGAATGTGTAGAGTGTCTTTTAGAACACAATGCCAAGGTTTTAGTTCATGACAACATAACCAAGAGAAACGCTCTCCATGTTGCAGGTAATTGCTGTTTATCACTTTAACCTTTTCAGGCTCAAGCTCAAAATATTAATTCTCCTTATTGATTGCCATATGTTTGTTGAATGTTGGTGGTGAGAATTTGGGAAATACAGAACGGATTATTTCTATGTGCATAAGAGATGTTATATGTATGTTGTTGTACCGAGCTTGGTTGTTTGTAGCACAGATAAAGGAGGTAATTCGGGGACAGTACATCTTTGTCAAGTTTATCATCAATTACTGTTCGTTATCCGTCCTGTAAAATTTTTTTGCAAGTCATAAGTTAGTTTTACAAGTCGTAAGTGACCACTATTTTTGTTACAAGTGAAGTCTCAGTTTAACTTAGTCCTTGCTGTGCAAAATTAAGTGAGCAAACTCACGTTTGTTTTTTTATGATTAAAAACTATCTTTGTTGTTTTTTTTGGCCAAACTATCTTTGTTGTATTTGTATAGCTTACAATGGACACACAGACTGCTTGAGACTTCTTCTACAATACAGTAACACTGAAAATTCCTTAGATTGCACTGATGCCGATGCAAGGTAAAATATGTTCGACTGTTTTGTTAACTGGTAAACCTCGCTGAAATTTCTTTTCTGCTGTTATGGGTGTTTTTTTTCCCTCAATGCGAGTAAGGTTGATCAACTTTTAAGATATATTAAATGGAGGTGAACAATTTGCTTATTAACTTTTTAGAGCTCTAAGTGTAGTGTTCCTGCAAATAACATTGTTGTGAAAATAACCGTAATTGGGAATTACAGCTTAAGAGGTAACTTGTTAGTGTTCCTTAATGGAAGACCAGTGTGGAATCATTGTGAAGTATATTTTATTAAGTGTCTATAAAGTTAAGAAGATTTTTACCGGTAGTGTCATTATTATCCTCTTCAGAAATCATAATATTACATGTACATGCTTTAAAAATTAAAATCATCACACATACATGTATTTATCCGAAATTTAAACATACATGTACATGTAACGCCAGAATATTAATTTGTGATATTGGTACTTTCCTTTACAGGACACCTTTGATGGCATCTGTAGGTAATGGTTTTGTAGACTGTGTCAATCTTTTACTGGCTGAAGGAGCCAATGTTCAAGCGTTGGATATTTATCACCGCAGTGCACTTCATAGAGCAGTAAGTAGTCGCGTCCAAGCTGCAGTTACTTTGTCGCCCGTTTTCCAAGTTGTGGCAACGTGTTGCGTTAAGTGGAGAGGGGTTTAGCTTTGTGCAGCATGTTGAGGTAACGTGCAACATGGGTGGTACAACACTTTTCAAATTGCAATGCAACGATGTTATACAGTAAGCTGAAAAAAAAATTTTTTCCTCACATTACTTCGCCGTAATCTTGTCACTTTTTTTCCCTTTTTTAAGGCGGCAAACGGCCATGACGATTGCGCCGAGGCTCTTTTGCACAGAGAGGCAGATGCACTTTGTAGGTGAGCCCATGTGGAGTGGTGTTGAACAGTGCAGTGTATGTGGTAGACAGACAGACAGACAGACAGAAAGACAGACAAACAGACAGACAGACCAAAATACGAAGCTCTAATGTTGCTTGAACTAGTCATGTCGGTACGATGCAGATCTCGCTTATTTTGGTGTCTACATCAATTTCTACAATACTTTTTGCTCCACATAAAGAACGTTTAAACGCGACCTGTACCGTTCACAAGGTTCTTTATAATTTGCCAAACGAAACAATAGGTAAACAACACACCCTAAAAACAAAAGAGCTGCGGATTAACAAGAACGAATCAGAATAGAGGTTTTAGAGAGATGCTGGTCAACTGAGTTAGGACTGGGGGTGAAAGGCGGATTTATACAAACAGCAAATTTGAGAAATGTACTCTTACATATCCGTAATGTGTGGCTTTTGCAGTCGTTTATTGGAATTGTCACGCAGTGCTGCATTGCGTGACAATGCAAATACAGTTGTGCCTTCTGCAGGCGCGGGTATCCGTCACGTGACGAACTGTAGCTCCTTAAATACAATCATCTTTAATTTGTTTTCTCAGAGACTGCAACGGTCGCACTCCCCTTCACTTTGCGGCAGCTTGTGGTCACGTGGGCATTCTAAATGGACTTCTACAGGTCGTAGGTAGTGGTGTTCACATGGATAATCACGGCTACACGCCGCTTCACTGGGCCTGCTTTAATGGTACGTACCAAGAAATCACAACCAAATTAACAAATCGAAATGTGGTTTAGCGTGGTCTGTACTCTTATCGACAACGATACGCGTCATCACAGTGGTCAAAATTTGTTGTGGACTCGCGAGGCGCAGCATTTTGACCACCGTGATGACGCGTACTCGTTGTCGATAAAAGTACAGGCCACGCTAAACCACATTTCGATTTGTTTTTTACCACAATATCAGCGTCAAAGAATTTTTTTTTTTTCAGAGCGGGAGCTGAAAAATGCATTGCATGACACAGTGACGCGAGCAGCGTTGTCTGGACTCTTATCGACAACGGCAAATTAGCCAATCAGATTGCGAGATTAGTAGTAATTGTGGTAAAAACCAGGATGGATGTTTCAGTTTTCAGGACTACAGTGTATAATGTGCTATGTTACATGGGTTTGCTCACTGAAGTTGTCCCTGTTGTAAATAGTGACATTAGGTGCGTTGTCTTTTCTTGGCAGGCCATGATACGTGTGTGGACATATTACTAGAGGTGGGAATAGAAACTTTGTTTGTGTCCCTGACCTAAACATGTAAAATATCTTCTTTTTTTGTCTGCCTGCCTGGCATTTTTAACTCTTACTTTACGTCGGGTGGCCAGCACCCCTATCATTTTTGGTTTTTTACTCTAGCAGAACATTGTAATTTCTAACTCTAGGGTGAAATATAAGTTTCTGTTGTTTTTTTCGTTATGTTAAAACACTCTATACAGGCTTGTATTCACTACGTAATCCATGTATAGTAAATACTTGCAGTGAAAAGTATCTGTTAACTTCTAGGGTGACCACTCCAGAGTATTTGATGGCAATCAATTTACACCTCTGCACTGTGCAGTGTAAGTAGTCAGTTGTCAATCTGAAAAAGTTTGGATGATGAGCTCTTTTGATTTGTGTACTGAAGGTATAATATTTTATCTTTGTTTCTGTGCAGCATAAATGACTATGAATCCTGTGCAGAGATGTTACTAGACACGTTAGGTGACGAGATAGTCAACTTATGCGATAAAAAAGACAGGTAATATGTTAATATGTTCTGTAACTCTGAGTTGCCATTGTAGAAAATGGCTTTTATTTTAGGCACGTGTATGCAGTCTAATAGGTGTAGTACTATGTACGCATTGCGGGTGTTTGTTTCTGGCCTGCAATGGTTACATTATGTCTCAGGTTTCTTAGTTTAAAGGTGCTTACTCTTTGTCAGAATAAACCGGTTTGGACGACCGTTGAATAATGGTAAGGGTTTTTTTCTAAATCAACAAACCAACCGAACAAGACGGTGCTTATACCAATTGCAATGCGATGTACTGTAACTGTTTTCGGCTGATAAGAGATTGGGAACTGGAAAATGTAGCAAATGGTAAAGAAATTTTCGCCGTTCCGTTCCGAACTGAAAAAGAGGACTAACTCTAGAGGTAGTCTATAATTTCCAGACGAATTTGTGGAAAATATACTGTTTCATTTGACTTTCAACCCGGAGAAATTTTTTTTTTTTGCTAAATGGTGAGCACCCTAAACGTTCAGTAATTGTCTGCATGGTTGGCAGGAGGTGTTCAATCTATGTATACTGTTCATCTCGTTATAATCATGCTACAGTGATGTGGGAGCTACACAGCTACACTCTGTGGGAATGTTTTAATCTTTTCCTACTATGATTAGCTCTTGAACATTTTGATCCAGCGAATTCTGAGAAAATAAAAGCTTGTTATATATCAGTTACCTGGCGAGGCTGGAGGTGACCTTGTTTTGATTAATTCTTACAAACCTCTCTCCTTTGCTCATTTAAATGGAGACTGGTTAGCATTAGAACAACTTCATGTACACAACAAAAGCAGTGAGGTCTGTATCAACAAATGGTCACCTCCGGCCTCGCTGCCATTCAGAGGCCAGGTCACTGAGCAGACAACTGTAAAATGGTCTATTGGGATGTTGACTAAGCTAAGTACACGTTAGGGAAGTGGCCACTGCAGTGCTCAGCTTATCCTAGCTTTTGTTGCACAAAGGGACTAGAGGACAGGAGCCCAGTACGTATGGAGGCCCCGGGTGATGGACTCCCTTGGATGGGATGGGATGCGGCTTCATCACAGGAATCGCCACCTCCCATCCCCAATCCCCGACATTTTTTCAGCCCACTTGAGCAGTTTCTGGGTGCTAATTTTTTGGGTTTAGCGATACAATTGAACCTCGCTATTTCGAACTCGTAGGGGAAACGAAAAATAGTTCGAAATAGCTGTTAGTAAATAAATGACTGAAGGGCAAACTTCAGGGAAATGGTTTTGAGTTGGAAATATCAGGGTATTCCAAATAACCAAGTTCGAATTTATAGCGGGGTTCAACTGTATCTTGACATCAAAGACATCGTGTATTTGTTCATGATCACAGGACGCCTGTCCATGCCGCAGCATTTAATGATCAAGTAGAATGCCTTCAGCTTCTGTTGTCAAGAGGAGGAAATGTGGATTCAGTGGATCAGTCTGGTAGAACACCGCTGATAATGGCCGCTGACAATGGCCATGCGGGCGCAGTAGGTAAGCTTCCAGCTCATGTTGTCTTCTATCACATCTAATTCACCCTCCAGGCCAAAACGCGACTTCCACCCAAAATTAATGTTCCCTACGATACAACGGCCGTGACCTTGCGCCGATCCATACACTTGAGGGAGCCACCTCACGGTTTGTGTATCTTAAAAGGTTTTGCCTAGATGTTTCAAGTTCATGGTTTGTAATCCGTGTTGATCTTTTCCATCCTTAACTATCCTTGTTCCTTTGTGGTTTATTATCATCACTTTGGTGTTTTCTATCTTAGTTAACTATTTTTTTCGGGTTTCCTTCAATTTAAAGGCAATTTTGTATTTGGTCAAAATAACTCAAAATGTCGTGACTGAGTTTCTTTTTAAAGACTTCTTTTTAACACTTAAAAGTGTTACTGAAACCACCATACAACAGCCGCCTAATTCTACCCCAGGGTGTTCGTTCTTTAATGGGGCTTTCTTGAAATGCAGTGTTTTTTCTTGGTAACTGATACTGACTGTATCTTGATGCTTATCATTAAACAGAATACCTTGTGGGGGCTGGTGGAGCTGACGTAGGTAGCGCGGATCAAAATAAAAACACGGCTTTGCACGTAGCGTGCCGTCAGGTGAGAAGCCTTGCTCTCTGTTTTGTACCGAGCATAGCATGAAGCGGCTGGAAGTGTACATGTAAGTTGCATGGCCTCTCTGCGGCATTTCTGTCATGTGAACCCTAGATTTCACCTGCATCTTGATGCTCCCGTGCAGGCAGAGTAAAGCGTCTTAGGAAGAATACAACACGCCCAATTGTAACCAGGGCTTGCAGTCTACGATCGATTTCCTTCCCAAACAGCGGCTGGTAATCGAGCCTACTTGAAGCCAAGACGTCTGGAAGACTAACGTTGTGTCACTATAGACGTTATTTCTCCCTACGATAACTATCTTAATTTGTAATTCACATTTAATTGTAGTTTATCTTTACTTTATACACTTCCAATGAAGTTTTTTTATTCTTAATTTTTTGTTTTTGTCTTTCTCTTTCGTGGCGTACCTGGAAGCTAGCTTGCAGCTAAGCGTACTGACCACATAAAGCGATTGATTGATTGATTGATTGACTTACTGACTGACTGATTGATTGATTGATTGATTGATTTAGTGATTCAGTGATTGATTGATTAATTGATTGATTGATTGATTGATTCAGTGATTGATTGATTGATTGATTGATTCAGGGATTAATCGATTGATTGATTGATTGATTGATTGATTGATTGATTGATTGATTGATTGATTGGATTGATTGATTGAGAGATATCCTTACATTATCTAACAAACAAGCAACAAGAATAGAAAGAATCATCAACCGCGGGTTTTTGTCTTGATCTAGCAACAACTTCTCAAAAGCATTGTGGAGTCTGTGTCGGGCTTAAGTGGTCCATACTGCCGGTTTCTGTAGCACGAAGCGACTAGGAGTATTCCCCCCGAATGAGATGCTTGTCCATCGCTGAGTTATCCCCAGCATTAAATTCGCCGGTA